TCTTCTTCTTCTTCTTCTTCTTCTTCTTCTTCTTCTTCTTTTCTTCTTCTTCTTTTCTTTTTCTTCTTCTTCTTCATCTTCTTCTTCTTTCTTTCTTTCTTTTGAAGGTTCATTGCTGCAGATATCACCCGCCTCCATTCATCTCTCTGGTTACCTTATCTTTCCAGCTTGTGACACCGAGTGTTTAAAGATCTCTCAAAATATCATCTCCCCGTCATCTTCTTGGTCTGCCCTGATGTCGGCGACCATTCACCTCCCTTGTGTTTCATCACGAATGAGACAGGCCAAGAAAGTGCAGGTAAAGTAAAGTAAAGGACCTTTTCCCACGCCTTCAGGCATATTGGGCACATATGGCTAGACCAATAATGTATAGATCAGTCAGCAGTCGATGAGAGATGTAGTCAACATCGCGCAGGTTGACTTTACTTCCATGGACTGTACCTAGTACCCATTTAAGGCAGGGTCGACCTAGGGGCTAAGGTCATTTTGGAAAAAAAATCCGGCTCAGCCAGCACCAGAACCGATAACTCAAAGTAGTATAGGTACAAATACGTTTACAAGGTTTTTTGTTGATGGCAGTCAGTAAGGATAACAGCACACAGATGAGAAAGTTAAACATAACGAAACGATCATTTCATCATTTTCTGTTTTATATTTAATATTGGAGTTTATATTTTTGTAGATTTCTCTTTTTTTTTGTAACTTGAAAACAAGAACACTCAGTAAATATAGTGATTCACAAACATGCCAAAAAATATCCAGGAGTGTGACAGGTAGCGTGTTATCACGATCACCAAGCGCTTTAGTGAAGAAAGTCCAACAACAAACACGGTAATTACAAACCATAGTTTTTAAACTGGGCATTCCTTGTATGTAACTCTGTATATATCCTCATGTTTTCTCAGTGACCCCACGAGTGCGCTCAGAAAGACGGAGATGGTTGCGTTTGTAGACAGTGATTAGTGTCAATGAGACGGTCACAGCTCAGAGTTCTACTTCTTGTTTTGTTTGCTATCCTTTCTGGATATAAAAATATAAGTGTAGTAACATACGCCCGAATTTTCACTGGCGGGTAAATTCTACCTTACTCATTATCATTCCCTAACACTGCGTGTCGATAGGTCATCAGTTACTATTGACTGTCTGATCAACTCCTCCACCTTTAAGGATCAGATGCAAAAAAACTTCATGACTGCATAGCTAAGACCTAAGTCAAGTTCTCTATTCAGGTCTTTCTTTGTATGCCTCTTCTCCTCTACTGAGAGCTGTAGTATTGTTTTCGAGAAGCCGTTAGATCTTATTATATGTCCGTAGCACTGCATACCACAGTGGTACACTATTTTACTACATACAATTATTTTAAAGTCAATTTCTATTACGTGTCAGTTTTTCCAACGAGTGGATTGTGCAGTACGTCCCTCAATGTAATTTACGCCGTTCTACAAAAGATGTGGTATAAAATACATCGGTGCGACCGGGCTACAACAGCTGACAGGTTCGAGTAACATGTTTCTGATGTGCAGAACAGTGCCCTCAAACCAGTGCCGATGCATTTCAATTCTTAGAGTCACCAAGGCGTCCTCAGAATGGGTGTTACGGCCATCAAGTCTAACCACTCTAATGACAGAGTCCATAAGCCTATTGAGAACCAGCTAATCCATCTAATGGGGTCCAACTCGCGTTAGCGACAGAGGTTTATCTAAAAATTCGTTATTTGCGTTTCTTAAAAATGTGAACTTGATATTCTAGCTGCTTGTCGTGCGTGCAACTTGATTTATCTTTAGTCTAAGTGTAATGGTACAGTAAGTAGAGAATGTTGGTATTTATGTCTTGTGATCCAGTTTTGTCTAATCGCCGGAAGTTCACTATAGTCACGTGACTTATCAGGGTAACTTTGAATAGACAATTAACTCTTTCTGTTGACATCAAAGAGTATTATACATTTTTCTGTCTTAAAACTCATTACGGGTAAACATTAGTTTGGACATTTCTATCCCCTGCATGACAGCTATAATCAAATGTTTGTAGAATTTTCTCTGCAGATCTTGCGCCGTTAAATCTTTGTATGAGGGATAACAACTCACTATTGTCCTTCTATTTCCCTTTCTCGGTAACAAATACATACATTTTAACAAGTTGCTTTCGGGCTAAAATCCACAAATTCAGCTGAAGAATTCAAATTCTCAAAACGGTGGTTTGAAATATTCTTATTTGTGAAGGACAGACAGTAAGGGGTAAAATATGTACACACGCACAAATCACAATACAGTAACAGTGGATCACAATAAGGTGGCAAATATTATCAGTTAAAACCATCAACAAAATGCACAGCTACAAGTTAGTGAGCAAAATAGTAATACGGCAACAAGTTCAGGAATATGGCAGACATCCCAGGCTGTAAACATGTGGTATGTGTAAAGTACTGACATTTCACTATCATTACAAATAATATAACCAATTCTATAGTTTGAACAGTCTTGTCTTTCTTGATTGTTGTTAAGCTTCAATATTTACTGCTTTGATTTCTTGTTTAATTCATATGTTTTAAAACGCCTTGTTAATAAAATGTTTTTCATACTGCTCCCAAAGTCCTAGTTTGTATTGAAAGCTTTTCTGAAAAGTCTCAACGAAAATAAGGACCAGAACAGTCTTTGACAGATAAACACCATCTCCACAGACCATGCTTATGAAAAACTAATTGGCTGTTACGTGACACATTATCTTTAAGATTATAAGGAATGTATAGAATAGTTTAGGAATTATAGTGTTTATTATTATTATTATTATTATTATTATTATTATTATTATTAGTAACTATGCAACTGCAATTTGCTGATACAGTCTGCTGTTTTTTTAATAACTGTTTACACTTTCATGTAGTTGTTAAGAGACAGTGAAGCGATAATTATACACTGTGAACCTTAACTTAGATATACGGGGATACGGAAGTTTAGTAATAGCATAGACTTTGTTTGACGATTGTTTTCATGAATGTTGGGCTTTCACTCGTCCTCTACGGACTATACTATGGTGCCTCATTCGTGTCTTAAGTAACTGGAAGGTATAACCTACACATGAAGTGTGCACACGCTATACTAAAAATCTCCGCTGACAAATTTATTTTTTACATTCACTAAAGTGAATGCTTATAATTCAGATGTTAATATTTTCACCTACCTCTAGATGTTCTTGCAAAACAACAACACGATTAAAGAAAGTTTGTCAATGCCGTGTTACATCATATAAATAGATATAGCTTCATAATGAGGATCGTCAACATTGCTTTCTACAAATGTGTGCTGTTATTTTACTGTCTCTGCTTCTTCGTTACGTATTTGTGCGTTTTAAGGGTCCTTATTTCAACCTGCCGAAAGCAGGTTTCATATCTTCATGAATGAAGTAAACACGATGATAGCTCTGAAGTCTTTGTTTAACTGAGCCTACAACGAATTTACAATGTACAAGATCCGTAACAACTTGTGGAGTCACATAGTTACGTCTTCGATATTAAATACATAATGGACGCTTATTAGGTTCTTTCCATGTGCAGAGATTGCTTTATGTCTTTCTGAATAAAGTGAAACTGCCGATAAGTCTGTCCTGTCGTGATCGAGTCCGCAGCCAACACTTAGTTTATGTTGGTTGAAATATTTCAATTCCACATACATAGACAGGGGATGTTGTTTGAATCTCCCAACCCCCCTACATTTTCTTTTCCAGTGTTCAGAGATCATGTTTTATATCTTCCTGAATAAAGTAAACACAATACAATTATGAAATCTGGAGGTAACCGAGTCAGCAACAAATTCCACATGAACATCCCCTATATGTTTGTTATTTAGGTCTGAAACACCACATAAATAGACAATCAAGAACTATTGGGTTCCTTATTTCAACGTTCAAAGATCATGTTTCATATCTTCCCGAAAAGATGTGACAATCAATCTTGGCATAATTGAGTCCACGACAAACATTTCCTCTATGTTGGGTGAAACATTTACTTTAGTACCACACATTTAGGAGGGTTTGTATGAGCAGTTCGGTTATCAAGAGACAGAGAGTCTCCAGTTCCTGAGTATGTGTATGTTTTTGACACTAATAATGAGATAACTTTCTGAGAGTCTCAGGCTAATTGAATAGCATGTTAACGAAATATGAACAGGATAGGAAATATCAAATCATGAACAGATTAAATAGCAACATGAAGTTTTACATAGACAACTGGAAAACTCTTCTTTTAATGTAATGGAAATAAAATAACTTGCCATTTCTTTGTTTCAAACATGAATTTCTGGACTTCATGAGGTGTTTGAAGAAATCAAAATTAGTTTACAAACTAAATGTGTTTATTTATGCAAATTTTATAGTGAAGTCTAACTAATGTTTGTTATCTGTGGCTGATTTGGTTGCTGTAAGGGTTTCAAGTTAAAATATACCGCAGTGATTTACTATAACTGATTTTCTTGATACTGCGGTACATAGTGATGACATATGGAGTTACCTTCTGATGTTAGCAACATTTTTTCACATACACTTAATTTTAGCAGTATTTTCAAAATAGGTTGCTACCATAATTAATAATTACGTTTTATGGAATCTTGCCATTAAGCACATAAGATACTGGTAGCTCTATGGCAACACTCGCCATTTTGTTTATAGATACTAGACAGAAATGTTTGAATGGTTTTCATTGTTAGGTGTGAATTACTTTCATTAAACATAATACACGCAGTTGAGACAATGAAAAGCGATGTTTATTTTATGATTTATTTTTCTTCTAAAAGCTAGTATTTTTTCTGTGCCAATTGAAGACTAGATTATGCCTATCTCAGCTTAAATATTAGTTGTTGTTTTTTTTTTTTTTTTTTTCATATATAACTGTGGTGTTTTCATTCAGGTGTAACCTTTTCAATGAACTCTTAAAATTATTTTTTCTATAAATGTCGGCTTTTTTATATTTTCTTCCATTCACACTTCCTTTTCCTGGCTGATCAGGAAGTTTACTGCCTCTGTCCATCTGTAATTGATAGAAGAAATAAAGATTTATTAATAATGATGAAATAAATATGTTGTCACTCAGTATGTAATTGAAAGAAGAAATGAACATTTATTAATAATGACTAAATGAATATGTTGTCACTCAGTATGTAATTGATAGAAGAAATGAACATTTATTAATAATGACGAAATGACGAAGTTTCCGATTTGTGTAGGGGGTTTTTGTCACTTTAGGTCACGAGTTCCCAGCTGGTGCTGCAGAGTCAGAGGTTCAACACATAACTTATGACAATTCGCACTCAGGTTATTATCTATACAGTTGGCTCTGTATTGAGGGGCAGACGAAGTGCATGGGTGTTCATTGCAACGACAAAATGGACATCGCTTAGTGGAACAACATGCAGCAAATGATATCACAACGTCTAGTTTGAGAATGGAGGTGGAGGCAGTCACTGCTGCCTTCCGCTGGCTTGAGAATCAGGTGTACACACATGCCGTGATTGTAACTGACTCACAGAGCATGCTGAGAAAGGTGGAGACAGGCATGCTTCTTGCAGAGTGGCAAACATCACTTCAGAGGTCCCTTATAATGAGCGTTCTTTATTTTCTCCAGGTCATGTCGTGTGTTTGGAAATGAGCAGGCAGATAGACTGGTCGGTTCTGCACCACTTGGTGGTGAACTGATGTATGACAAGCTAGATGTTGTGAGGGCCCTTTCGGAGCTAGTGAACATTGCGGAAGCACAACAAGATTATTAAGGTCTGAGGAGAATGGCACAATGGGGAAATGCCAGGGGATTTGGCCGATGCTCAACACTCAAGGGACGGATATGCAATCACAGTGGCTGGTACTATCGCAAGTGAAACTCTTCTCTTGCTGCTGAAGATGGGACAGAGCGCTTATGGGGGTGTCCCGAGTGCTGTGATGGGGATTCCTAATTCATCATCATAACAGTAGCGAAACCCCCCCCCCCCCCCCCCCCCAAAAAAAAAAAAAAAAAAAAAACCCAGCCCGCTCCTAGAATTTCAGTTAATCGACAATGGTAAAAGCAAATACAACAGATCTGCGTTTGCACACGCAATTAATCACAAAAGACACTTCCAGTTTTGTGTCAACGCCAGCTATTTTCTGTATCTGCAGTTAACAACAAAAACAATCTTGGCCACAGACGAGAAGCATTCCTAAAGAATAGTTTTTTTAATTCTTTATAATTTGTTGAAATTTACAATATACTTCTCCTTCGTTTGTCAATATCTGCTTATGCCGCTCGGCGTTGCGGTACAACAGACGATCAACAGCCTGGGCGAACATTTGCTTGATATGCCGTGATGTTATGCAGTCTCAAGGTGTCAGAGACTAATTCAATCCATCTTCTTCTCGGTCTTCCCCTGCCTCTTGATGTTTCTATTTTCAGGTTGTACGCTCTTGCTGCTGGCATCGTTGGTTTTTCTTTTTCACATTTGATGGCCAAATCATTTCATTCTTGTTTCTAAATAAATTTAACGATGGGTGCTGTTCCAACAATTCTTGTGATCACGTCGTTTCTCACTCATTCTCTTCTGGGTTTTTTTCACAGCCATTCTCAAACATCTCATCTCACAGGTGGTCAGTTTTATCTCTTGTTCTTTTGTCAATGTCCAACTCTGACACTGGTAACCTAAAGTCGGTATAAATATTTTATTTGTAATTTGTCTTTTTGTCTCGACTGGGATAGCAGGGTGTTTTAAAATTGGAGCAAGTTGGCACTTGATATTGTTTTCTTGTTGAATCCTCATTTCTATCTCTCTGTCTATTTTATCATTGTGTGTAAAGATGCTTCCCAAATATTGAAATTCCAGCACTTGTTTCAGACTTTGATCATTAAGTCGATGGTTTGTATGTACTAGAATATACTACACTGACATAAAAAGAACCTCACTGAACTAATTTGAAAAATGGTAGTGTATATAGAATTCAACTATAGATTATTATTAATGGACTTTTCTTTCGACTACCTCTTTTCGTTTCATGTTTAATTAGGCTAACCATACTAGTGGTAGAGAATCAATGCAGAATCTTTCTCCTGACCCAACCCATTCGTTTGAAAAATAAAAATGGATTTTAAGTAGATGCGTACCTGGTTTTTCCCGTGTGGGTTCCAAAGCCCCATAAGGGGGAAAAGATAGATCACACAGTAACAAGTGTGTCATAAAAGGCAACTAATTCATGGCCTTTCCTTCTAAATTAGTGTGCATCTGCCCGAGAGGCAAGGAAACAACAGTCTGCAAACAGAAAAGCCTGACCTGTAAAACTGCTGTGCATGTAAAAGTCAAGTTCTGGAACAAGATCACAGTCTGGAAGTGGACGAACAACCAGAACAATAAAAATAAAAAATAAAAATAAGAAGAAGCAAAATAAGAAGTACCTGCTTTGTTGCCTGCTGGTTCTTTAACTTGTTCACCTTTCTGCTCTGACTTGACGTCATGTTTCTCCTCTGTTTGCTTGACAGCTGTGAAATGGTCTGAGGTCTTAGTATCTTCTTCTTTAAGCTTTTTCTCCACTTCTGCTGCAACAGGAGTTTCCGAATTGGTTGGCTGCACTTCTTCACCCTGGTAGTTGGAAGGCTCGTCATTCATGGAGGATGTGATAGTTTCAACTGAAGTAACAAGGTAACTGTTGTTTCAAAGATGTCTTATGAAATTACACACTGTAGTCTACTATAATTATGAAAAAAAAAAAGGTTGTCACGCCAAAGTTACTGCTATCGGATGTATGTCAGTTAAGTAATTTCGCGCATTCGTGTCTGTATATGTTTAATGTGTGTAATGTACTGATGAACTTTGTGTAATAGCAGAGTTCACTTTCCGTTTGTGTTTTGTTACATTGTAAGGCTCACTGGTCTACTTTTCGTTTGGTTTTATATATTTTCGTGCAGCCTAATATGTTCCACTCAGTTTTAACAAAAGTTGTATTTTACAGAGTAGTGTCCAAGGTGGGCAAATGCATTCTAAGAAAAAGAACTGAGCGTGTTTAAGGTTTGCATCTAAAAAAGCAAGGCAAACTTCTTGCTGAAGTCAGAACAAATTGACTGTGAATGAAGAAATGGAGTTTCAGCACTTCTACAAATTCGAGGTCCTGCAACTGGCAATAGGCACAGCGAGAACTGAAGACTATATTCAGCGGGCTTAAAGCGTTGCAACAAAGTGGGTGCCTGGGAAAATGTAGCAGACATACAAAGCATGGGTGTAATATTGCTGGTTATAGAGTATAGACGTCATTAGAAATCCGTGGTTAACACAATTTATAGGCCTAGGACCAAGGAAGAAAGCTGTAGCCAAATATCTGGGTTAATCTAGGTAAAGCATCACTTCAGAGGTCCCGGGTAGTTAGCATCGTTTGGATATTTTCTCCGAGTTGTGCCGGTGTGTTGGGAAATGAGCAGACAGATACACTGGCCGGTTCTGCAGCCCTTGGTGGTGAACTGATGTATGACAAGCTGGATTGTGTGAGAGTTTTTTTGCAGTGAGTAAAGTTTGCCGAGGCGTAGATACATTACGGTCTGAGAAGAATGGCACTACGACGAGTTACAAGGGGATCTGGCCGACGCTCGAAAATTAAGGGGAAGGACGAGACGGATATACAATCAGTTATTGGTACCAACGGAATTTTAAATCTTCGCTTTCTGCTGAAGATGGGGACGGAGCGCTTATGAGGGTTTCCCGAGTGCTGTGATGTCTTGACTTCTTAATTCAACATTGAACATTCAGCATTCAACATCTAGGTGAAGATTTTACATAACAGTATTCAGGACAAGCCCATTTTAACTCCGCCTGCCCAATCAACAGACAGCGAAGAGTATCCATATTGATGGCGCCCGTTGTCGTCTTGTTAACTACTGGTCTTACTTTCCCTCCGAGTTTCGAGTGTCGAAAACAGGACCGACAACTACTTCTGGCTGCATCATTGTAGCCAAATGCATGTTGACTGAGTGAGAATGTTACCACACGAGAGTCGTGAGGTTCAAGAAAGTCAAAGTTCCCTAGAAAGAGTGAACAAAGTGAAAGGAATTGCTTGCTGGGGTGGTGGTGTTGGGGTGGGGGGAAGGGGGGGGGGAGTTTGAGATAGTTCAGGGAGAAAGAAAGTGAGATTCGTCTGCTTTTGACGCTAAAGCTGAAAGCATGGCAAGAGATGGTAAGAGTGTTTGAAAAACTGAATTTATCCAAGCAGCAGCAGTAGCCACGAACATCTGGCTAATTGTCGTCAGGATGGAAGTTTGTCGAAAGACCTTTGGCTGTTCACTCGGGTAAACATAGTATGCACAAAGCGAGCCGGCAAAAGATCGTGTACAAAATTGGAATGCATGCAGAATGCTTCATCAGTGAGTAATTTCGTGTGCTGATTGTCACGGTCGTCATGTCCTTTGACAATTTTATGAGCAATAGAAGACGCTGTGGACGCAGTCTGATACAGAGAAAAAAACTACTGTTCTGTCAAGCAGCGTGTTCCAGTCAATTTGTTGGTCCCTGTTGACTGACTGACTGACTGACTTTCTACCCCACCAGGACATCACACAAGCGATAAACACCCGATGACACAAAGTGCCACCATGCGGATGAGGATCACCGTGGAGAGGTCCCAGAAACCGCGTTCAGACAATTAGCCATTTTGATGGCCTGCCTATATTGCGGCCCCTGGCAAAAGCCAGAGTGGGGCTTTAAATAACCAAAAATTACGTCCTAAGAAGGACGTCTATATATCAGCGAAACCACAGTCCCAGCCCTCAGCAATGCCCTGGTAACACCGTAGCAGAGTCATTGCAATGGACAACGCTCGACACATTTTTGTTTGTACGACAGTTATATCCAGAGCTGACAGTTCATGAGACTATTGCAGACTAATTTCCTAAAATCTCTGTACATTTAAATTGTCACAAAGAGGCTGCGTGGTCTCGAGGCATGGTGTCCGTCTGAGTGCTAGAGGTTCCGGGTTCAATCTTCCGGGATTTTGTCACGTGGATTTGGACTTCTAGTAATTCCCCCTGGTCTCTGCGTAGTGAGATCAGACGCCCGTGTGCATTGCGCACGTAAAAAAATCCCTTGGCAGTTGGAAATCAAAAAGAGAGGCCTAATGGCGCTGCCCGGGCAAAATTTAGAGTTAAAAATCTACCTACAGTATTTCAGGATCCTCGTTAGTGCTACCGAGCCTGTGCAATATGCTGAGCTTCTTCGGACTCAGACTTGAGTTAGAAGACGAACGGAGCACTTATGGGCTACTACTCGTGTGTCATGATATATTGATCCATTATTTAAAACCCTCAAAACCTCAACTCTTTCTCTCTCTCTCTCTCTCTCTCTCTCTCTCTCTCTCTCTCTCTCTCTCTCTCTCTCTCTCAAATGAATCTCACTTCTCTAAACATTGTCAGTGTATTGGTGTAATGTTTCCAAGTTTATTCACGTCCTCCATTCAGAAGATTACCTACCCAGGAGATCTCTGATCTGTCCCATGTCGTCCGGGTTGTCGTCTTGGCTGACTCTGTCATACAGCATCTTAACAATTTCTTGGGCCTCTTCATTGCCTGCAAAAAAAAAAAAAAAACTTAAAAAAAATTCGACTGACTTTGAACCTCACTAGTCCCTGTGTGAGTTTCAGGGCCCCATTGTGGGGAAAACAAGAATAGACCCACTGCCTGCCCATAAGCATGTCGTAAGAGTCGACTGATTGGGAGCTGCCTTTGAAATCGGAGTACATCTGCCTGAGAGGCAAGCATTCTTTTATGCATCCACTGTATCCCTGCACCAAAACACATAGCCAAACGTTCCAGTATCCACGAAACAATGCACAATTGTTCAGACCCACAATTATAACCTAAAGCTTCTCTTTGGTGATGCTGGTTGAACTAAATGATTTGTTAAGGGGGCGGACGGACGGTACTTTCCCATCATGTAGCAGGTCCTTTGCAGAACGTCGCTCTATATCATGGATGGAATCCAGTCCAGCACATTTGGCTTCTCTCGTCAACGTTCGCCTTGGGGTTTCTCTTGGAATTCCTCGTCAACAAGACAATAACATTTTACTAAAGTAGTTAGAATTTAAACCGCCCAGTACTGGCTTAATTAGGTTTCTTTCCAAGCACGACTGACTAATTGGACCCATACAACTGGCACCCTAATATTTCAATTAGTTTGTGCAATAAAATAGTTTGAGTAGTAAGCTAGTTGCCCGAACACAATCTTAATTATATTATTCAGGGAAATGTATGTTTGTTTTCCTGAATAATATTATTAATATTGGGCACAGGAGCAACCTGATCAAATATTATTATTTTTATATGACAATTTATAATTATGCAGGATATGTGAATGTTTGACACTTCGTAGTTTTAGATCACTGTCTGTGGAAATTAATGGTTCGAGGTGAAAGGGTCAGCATCATTACACTGGGTGTAATTTCAACGGTTCGGCCTTTCTTGGCAAAACGGCTAGCCGTCTGCCAAGAGTGTCACAGAAAGCACAAACTCCGTAGCCCCCGGCGACAATACATGGGGATCTTCTTAAAATTGCCCTGATGAACCGAAGCGTTCAATTAAATTGGATTTAATATTAATTATATTACAAATGTACTAGTTACTTGAAAGCTCAACATACCTTTTGTTTTCATTTTGTATATCCCCATCTATTGGGCAATGTCTGTTCACACTGCTAATCAACACGTAAATAGGGGTAAAAAACATAACATGTGACAAGGCAGCTCAGTAAAAGGAGTGGAAACGACGCGCATAACTACAAAGGAAAGTTTCACCAAAGAGATTTCAAGTTAACCTTTGTTGTTTAGACGCTCCTTAGTCCTGTCTGTTGACTTTTCCAGTCACTTTTTACGTTGCATTTAGTACTCCGTTGACACAGACTTTGGCATAAACATTCATTTGTTTTTGTGCGCATCTTTCCATCCTTCCTTTGAGCTTTCTAGTCACCTATTTTGTTATTTAGCACCTTTACCCAAATATGTGTGTGATTCAGCATTTCAAAACAGGGTTCAGCGTTAAAGTTTTTTTTTTTTATATTGGACTTTATCCAATTACAGTTGGCCTGCCATTACGAATTGTTAGACCTTATATGTGTACCCTCATGCAAAGTGTGTAATTTATCTACATTTATTTTCTTTAGGGAAGGGAAAAAGGGAAGGGAAAAGGGTGGGGGGAAGGGTGGATTGGGTGGGGTGGGGGGCCTTGGTGAGAACGTAGAACAGTTGTTTCAGCGATGTCCATATAATTGTTCAGGTTAGTGGGCTGCTCTAAGTGAATTCAATATCTAACGATAATTGTATGGAAACAGCTGAGTGACAGACCCCAACAGTAGTGGTGAACTACACTGAAAAGGAATTTTGTTGTCAGTAAGAGTAATTTATGTCATAACAGACACCTCAAACGATACCTTCTGTTTGTCATTAGACATTCTTTCACTTTACCTGTAAGTGACATACTTAAAATTAACTCCGGCATCGTTATTACACTTATAAGTATTTGGTAAATATGTTGGATATGTTAACTTCACATAGACTGTGCTACAAAATCATTGGTACATATCACAAAACACCCCATTTCGTCAAGCCTGAGATGTCGTACCGGCTCCCATTCATGCCGGGGTGGTTCCAACAGGCTGTCTTATGTTGGAAAGATGGTGGGATATGCGTTCGTTCACCATCGCCGTCTATACACTAAGCACGTTGGTTCTAGGTCCGACACGAACGAAGTGTGGAGCTCTCTTTCGTGGCAGGCGACATTGCGTCACTGGTATGAGAATTTGTGACCAAAAAAGGCTGCAGTGATAGTGATGAAGAACCAACGGCAACAAAAGTAACACACACAGTTAGGGCCGTTCACATTGTCAAATTAGACCGTCCTGGCAGCTCACAACATGAAATATAGAGCTTATAGCGCTGAAAAAAAAAATTAAAAACTGGACACCCCTAGAACATATGGGTGATTTTCGTGATATGTATGAAATAATTAATTATAGTTTTATGCTGTTTTAAAGTAAAGATTTGTAGCTTGTAATACCTTTTCCATAAGCCTCATTCCACAAAGCAGCCAAAAACTCGTAAGGATCGACGTCACCCACATTGTCCTGCACCGTTTGCTGTACTGCTACTTGTTCCTCTGGGCTTATGTAATCTGTATTAGATATATTGGTAGAATGATGATTCCAGCGTAATCAGGCAAACAGAATTTAAACATAAAATATATTGAAGAATCATCATGTAGCACGTCCTTTGTAGAACGTCATTTTGATCGCGGAAAGAAACTCGATCTCTCGCCAGTTACCCCCCCCCCCCCCCCCCCTTGTACTTCCATATTCAAGGTATCACTTATATCCCGTGCCCATCTTTGAGTTGGTCGACCCCTGCCACTCTTTCTTGGTATACCATGCATTATATTTTCCCCCAATTCGCCATGGCGCTTGATATGATCAAATTATTTCAGCTTCCGAGAGAAGATGCTGTTTATTAGCCAATCTTCCTTGATGTTCAGATCTTTTAAATTGTATATTAAAGACTGCACAACATAAAGGTTAAAGTAAAGGGACTTTTCTCACGCCTTCAGGTGTATTGGGCATACACGGCTAGACCTTTATTTTATAGAGACCTATCGGCAGGCACCTCATGGGTGATGTTTGTCAGCATCCCATCGACCGCGTTTACTTGCTAGGACCATACTTATACCCATTTAAGACTGGACTGACCGGAAAGCCAGGGTCAATTTTGAAAAAAAAAATTGATACCGTCAGGACTAGATCCCACTACCTTCCGATCCGCAGGCGAGCGTCTAGCCTCTACACCCTGGCAGCTCCCACAACAACCAGACATCCCGCAAGATTTGATTTGTCTGCTTTTGATGAGTTCCGATAGCGAAGCGGTCAAGCCGTTTGCGTCGCGCTCTGGCGGTCGTAGTTTCGTTTTACGGTTGCGTGGCCGGTTCACAAGTACAATTTTTACGTAGACCACTGGGGATCGTCGCCGGAGCAACGCTGTTCGTTTTTTGTGAGACACTCTATGTCGATGGCTAGACGTTGCGTGGAAAGAGACTAAGCCATACGGGATAAACCCAGTGCAGTGAAGTCAATCCCTTCTACATTAAACTGTTTGGCTAGCTTTCACTCTCAGCCATATTCCGTCTCTCACATTGTTAGAGTACACATATTAACAATATATGCATCATTATCACGTTCACCCTAGTACTATGGTAACCTCCGGCTGTTTAATGCTATCACTATAGTCAGGGATCTTTTTCCTGATTTCTAAAATGTCATATATATATATATATATATATATATATATATATATATATATATATATATATATATATATATATATATATATATATATATATACTTCATATTTTCCATATTTTCATATTTTCTAATTGACCCACGCCTTGCAAGCATTTCTCACTTTATTTTACTTTTGCACTTTTTCCATCAAGTTTCCCAGGAATCACTATTTCAAATGTTTCATTACATATCTCCTGCTGTTGCTGCTGCTGCCGCCCTAAACCAGTGGTCTCCAACCTCTTTCATATAGCCTCCCCCCTCCTGAGAGTATATGACAAGACCCATTGCCTCCTTGAGTATACGACCAGACCCCCCCCCCCTCCCCTCCTTTCCGCGCCCTCCTTGAGTATATGTCAAAATTGTTATCGTGTTTTTGTGTGTGTCTTTATTTATAGGCCCTAGCGGGGTCTCTTCCAAGTATATTGTTATCGTGTTTTCTGTCCTAATAACATGTCTGAGGTGACTGTCTGCGGTAATTTTCTACAATAAATTTCCAGTTTTTCTTTCCCCCGCTAGAGTATTCCGAGCCCTCGTCCTTTAACCCAACCCCTTTTCTGTCTCTCTGCTCAGCAGATATTACCGGCGTCCACTTATCTCTGTAACTGACCTTCTCTTTCCAGTTAGTAACCTAAAGGGATTGTAGGTATTTACTCTACACCACCATCTTGGCCTGGTTTTTGGTCTGTTCCGATTTAACTTATTTCTGTATGCAGTGTCTGTTTCTCTCGTATCTGCTTATCCATTGCAGCCTGTTGGCACTTAAAATGCCAGTAATTATCTACAATTTAAACGAATTATTCCAAATGTTTCTTTTATTTATTTGTTTTAATTAGGTTCTGCAAAATAAACTCACCAGTTGGGTATCCATAATAATAGCGAGGTCCGTATTTCTCATTATCACGGACATCATGGCTAGATGGCGGGAACACATCTGAGTCCTGACCGATCGCCTCAGGATCTTGCAACATCTGGGAAAATCCACAGGGATATGAATTTATCGCTAGCACAGTATCGCAGAAGTCAGTGTTAAATGTTACGGTTACTTACAGTAAAGCAGAAGTCAGTGTTAAATGTTACGGTTACTTACAGTAAAGCAGAAGTCAGTGTAAGATGTTACGGTTAATCACAGTATCGCAGAAGTCAGTGTTAGTTGTTAATGTTACTCACATTATCGGAGAAGTCAGTGTTAGATGTTACTGTTACTCACAGTATCGCTGAATAAATGTTAGATAAAATGGTTACTCACCTTATCTCAGAAGTCAGTGTTAGATCTTACTGTTACTCACAGTATCGCTGAATAAATGTTAGATAAAATGGTTACTCACCTTATCTCAGAAGTCAGTGTTAGATCTTACTGTTACTCACAGTATCGCAGAAGTCAGTGTTAGATGTTACTGTTACTCACAGTATCGCAGAATAAATGTTAGATAAAATGGTTACTCACACTATCTCAGAAGTCAGTGTTACATGTTACTGTTATTCACATTATCGGGGAAGTCAATGTTAGATGTTACAGTTACTCAATGTATCAGAGAAGTCCGTGTTAGATGTTACAGTTACTCAATGTGTCAGAGAAGTCAATGTTAGGTGTTACAGTTACTCAATGTATCAGAGAAGTCAGTGTTAGATGTTACAGTTACTCAATGTATCAGAGAAGTCCGTGTTAGATGTTACAGTTACTCACAGCGTCGCAGAAGTTATGGCAACTCTATTTTCATTCCTGGTCCTTTGCATTAAGTTTTAATAAACATCTGAACAGTGTCAGGAAACATGCATACTGTCTCTAAAAAAAAACTTGGCACCTCTAGAAGATGTGATTTTCGTGATATGTACTAAATCATTAATTAGAGTTGTATGCAATTTTAAAGCAAATATCTGTAGTCTGTAATACCTTTTCCATAAGCCTCATTCCACAAAGCAGCCAAAGAAACCCTTTAGAGAGTGATAAACATGTCATTGTCGTGTTACTAAGCATACGGTTGTTAAGCAAGTCAAGAGGGTTAAGCACGCGACACCATGATGCAGACCTCTAGGGCAGATTACATATAGTGCCTCACTTTAGACATACACCAAGAGTGGTCACCTTTAAGTATCTGGTTTTGATCCGTACAGGAATGAAAGCATTAAGCATATGATTCAGATAGAAGTATCAAAACAGCGTGACTTCTTTGACAAAATTTTTACTACCCCATGCATCTGACTTGGGCGTTACAAATAAAATAACAAATTGAAAGAAAATTCATTACCTGGGGATACATTCGCTTTTCATTTAAGACTCCCTCTTCAAGTTCTTCAAGTTGCAGTTTTTCATATTCCAGGGCTACAGCCTTTGTGTACATTTCTGCTTCCGCGGGTGTCATCTGTCATAGAAGATGTACAGTTACAGTCAGAAAACTAATTGAGTTCATTAAACATAAATGTAAATTTACTCATATGGAAAACAAATGAACGAACTTAATTCTCAAAGGGTCACAAATTGGGCACGCAGACTGGCCCTTCTAAACACCCGTCTTTCACACAGCAGTTGTATTTAATCAGTAAAGCATGTTATATTTATATGATAATAAGCACATTGTGATATTAGGAAAAAACACAAAAGCATGGGTGTTTAAATGCATGCACATACTAGCGCGCACATACACACACACACACACACACACACACACACACAAACACGCATATAAACATGCCGCAGACACCCACTACGTTCACACACACACCCACTCACTCACATACACACATACACACACACATTCCACATATATACATGTACGCAGACACACCCACACACACACACACATGAGCACAGACACAAACACACACACACAGACACACACATGCTGACATACACAGACACACACATGCAGACATACAAACCCGCAGACACACACACAGAGATAAACACACACACACACAACGAACAAGCACACACGCAGACATACACGCAAACACACAAACACATACAGAGACACACATGCAGACACACAAACACACACACAATCGCAGACGCACACGCAGATACTCGCGTGTTCTTCTAGCAGGGTATTCTCTATCACTTACAAGGTTTCCTGGATCGTTTCGTCTGACCTTTGACCAGCCGTTCCTCCTTGTTAGCAACACAGAATACTGAGATGAACCTTTCGGGTTGGAAAGCGTCCATTTAATGATAAACCAGCCTTATTTTCCTATATGTACTTTATTTCCAATTTGTGGCTTCTCCTTTAAACTCACGTATTCTCTGAAACCTATTTCTTCTTCACTTCCTCCTTTACCGTTTCGTGTGCCAAGGGAGATATATTATTCCGCTTCTTGCCTTTCTAACCACCTCTGTCATTGACAGATCGTGTTGCTCTTGAGTTTATCTGACGTTATCTGTCCATATTGTTCTTGGTCTGCCTTGTACTCTACGCCCTTTGTCGTAGGTCTCGTATGGTATGGCGTCTCAAGAAATTCTTTTTTAGTGGGCAAACCATGTGATTTCCTGTCGTTGTATGTAATTTATAATTGCTTCTGTGGCAACATTTTTCTCTTATGACCACATTCCTGATGTTATTTTTTGTGGTGACTCTTGCAGCCATTCTGATACATCTTATTTTCATGGTTACTTATTGTCTTTTCTGGTCATATGTGGGTGAAAATGTCTGGCCCTTGTATCATGCAAATACTGAGATTGAAGATGATTTGTAAGGAATGTTTTTTTTTTAAAATGCAGGTCGGGCCTATCTCATACTGTAAGAGGGGGGTAGGGCGCCAACTGTCCGGCTACTTGTTTTGTTTTACTGCTTCTGATGTCAGTTTAGTTTTTCTGTTTGAACACTAATTATTTTCCAGCCCGATTATATCTCATTACATTCTCTGTCGCGGTAAGCAATCCACTACCGACTTGCTATGCCTGATGCAGCTTTATCAGAGCCTCTTTTTTGGTGTGACCCAAGAGGGCCATTGGCACAAGCCCACACCATACAGATTCTGAAGAAATCAGCACAATTCTAATTGTTTGTTTGACATGGTATGATAAATGAAGGGAATTTACACTCGGAATATATTAAGATGTACATAATATAATAAAAACTGTTATTACAAACTTGGCGTTACATGACAGAGAGTTCAATATAGGGATTTAAATTAGAAATGCTTACTGCTTGAAACTAGGTCATCTCTAGTAACATTCTGGCATGACTAGATATGGGTAGCAGTAACATTTTGACATGTCATTGTGTAGGTATCAGTAGCAATGCTGACTGTTTGAATCTAGGTCATCTCTAGTAACATTCTGGCATCGCGAGATATGGGTACCAGTAATATTTTGACATGACATGGTGTAGATATCTTTAACCTTTGACTCACCTTACTCTGGTTGACTAGCCTCTCTAATGCTGCATAGAACGCTGGAAAACGTTGAGTAGCGTAGAGATATTCGGCCATGTCCGCTGGGGTTAAATCGTTGTCTACCTCGTCATCTCTGTTGTTTTCGACATTGTTGCTTTCCTGTAAATGCAACAGGGTATTCATTTGTGCAATTACAACAATTACTCTCAGTTTACAGCATCTAAAACTGCATTTTAAATGAGAATTTACATCCAAACAACCACACAAACACCAGTGTCTTCTAAGTTAACTACTTGATTCAGGTACAAACAGGAAACCACAAAGACGCTGGCGTTATGACATCACGGCAGTTGGAAATCACAAAAGACAAGTTTTAAAAGTGATCAGTTCGCCTGTGTACACGTTAGCAGGTATCGATTTCAGTGGGGAAGGTACCATGTGATATATGCCGCTTCGCTAATAGGAGTATGCGTGCGCATTTAGCATCGTAGCAATGTACTAGTAGTTGGTAGTTTTCACACGTTACAGTTTTTGCAAGTTTGCCGAAAGCATGCAGAAAGCGTTATTTTTCACTATGTTAGAGGCGTAAAGTGAGTGACGTATGTGTAAACAAAACAAAAGTGCGCAGTAATAATAATATTCTTCTTCTTCTTCTTCTTCTTCTTCTTCTTCTTCTTCTTCTTCTTCTTCTTCTTCTTCTTCTTCTTCTTCTTCTTCTTATTCGGGTTCACCAGCTGTAAACGCCGGCGGAAAGTTCTGGTCGTTCATCAACTTTTGGACTGTAGTCCTGTTTTAGATCTGACTCATTTGAATGCAGACTACTGGTTCCTTGCCTCTCAGGCAGATGCGCTTCGAAGGAAGCTCCCAATTAGTCCACACTTAGGCCATGCTTTTGGGTAGGCAGTGGGTCTGATCTTGTTTTTCCTATAATAGGGCCCTCGGGACCCACACGGGGAACAGTAATAAGGAATAGTAGGGCAACACATTTATCCTTGGCAGTGGACAGCACAAGCGATGATTACAGCTTTTACATGCACGTCTCGCCATTGGTTGTTAATGGTCATTGTCGTGACCTAGTTAATATGAAGAAGTTATAAATTAGGAAAGTTTACCATAATATCCTTAACAAATTGTAATCTTGTTTATCGAGGCGGGGGCAGAAGAAACTTAAATAAAAATAAAAACCCTAGGCATTTTTCATGATTAAATTGTGCAAGCCAGGGCTAGCCATGTTTTCTCACACACCCCCCCCCCCCTTCCCCCACTCCCTCCCCCAAACACCACCCACACAAAAAAAAAAAGGAAAGTTAGTAATCACGACAATGAGATGCAGGAGAAGGACTGCAGGAGCGACAAGAGGAGATAAATGAATGAGGTCATAAGAAAAAAAATCTGCACGGAGCCAATCATAAATTACACACAAAGACAGCTGATCAAATGTTTTGCCCACTTAGAATGCTTGTGACGTCATGACATACAAAGACATACACTAAAAGAAGAGAAATGCTGAATCTAACACAAACATTGACTAGAAAGCTCAATGGAAGGAATTGAAAAGATGCAGACCAACACAAAAATCAGCCCGACTGCAGTTTACGTCATCACTTGAAAAGAGAAGGACGTTCAGCACGTGGTAGACCAAGGACAAATGGAAAGATAACATCAGAGAAACTCGACAACAGCACGATGTGTCTATGGTCGAGTCGGTCAGAACAACAAGAAGCAGCATTTTATGTCTCTGCAGCAGTTCGAGAGGAAGTGAAAAAGAAAGAAACTGAGACATTTGCAAGCAGTGAAACAAATATATGTACGGCTCTGTGTCATTTGAAAGTGGTCCACGCCAATCCTCGACCCATATAAGCTTGACACTCTTGACAAACAGGCATGCTCAGCACAAGAATTGTGTTGATACCCGGGATCAAATGTTGGTAAAGGAATGACTTAGAAAGCCCGCCTGTCACTCGGATAGACATAGTTGAAATTGGTATTCGTGGACGAGTAGAAGGTCTAAGTGCACACTAGGCGTTTACAAATTCTAAACGGTAGGCCATTTTTGCTGTTGAAGCACAACGGTAATCTCACAGTATTAGGTTTGAGGTTTGAACAACAGATTAACATCATGGTACACCTATAAGTGCTCCGTTCTTTTTTCTAACTAAAGCCTGCATCTGAAGAAGCTGATCACAGTGCACAGGCTCTGTAGCACAGGCGAGGATCATGAAATAACTTGGGTAGATTTTGAACTCAAAATTTTTGCCTGGGCAGTGCCGTTAGGCTACTATTTTTTTTAATTTCCAACTGTCAAAGGATTTTTTACATGCGCAACAATGCACGCGGGCGTCCGATCTCACTACCCAGAGACTAGAGGGAATTACTAGAAGTCCAAGTCTACGTGAAAAAATCCCAGCCCTTACCGGGGATTAAACTTGGAACCTCTAACACTCGAGGCGAACACCATGCATCGAGACCACGAACCCCACCCCTTCCCCCGCCCCCCTAATTCCCAATCTCTTTTTCCACAATCTGAAAAAATTACCCAGTTATAACAGTTTACTCATAAATTATTTTCACACACACACACAAACATTCGCACGCACGCACGCACGCACGCACGCACGCACGCACACACACATACACTCACGACTAAGCTAGAGATGAGATGATTTTTGTGGATATAATGAAAGAAAACAGCTAGTAACGATAACAAAGGCTGAGAAAATGTTACAGAGCCGAGTTGAGTTGAGTCAAGAATTGACATCACAGCACTCGAGCATTACCATGAGTGCTCTGTCCTCATCTTCAGCAGCCAACACAGAGTTCCAATACTGATGGTACCGGTCACAATCTGGTTATATGTCCGTCTTGCCTTTCCTCTGAGTGCAGTGAGCCGGCCAGACCCTCTGGTTAAACACAGATGCGTCATTCTCTCCAGGCCATAATAATCTTCTTTCTCTACTGATTCTGTTGCTTGTTCCCAAAGTGCCTTGATCACATCTGCCTTGTCATGTATCAATTCAACACCCAGTGGTGCAGATGTTACAGAATGATTCTCAGAAAAATTACGGATCAGCACAAAATGAATATTGGCATCCCAAACGATTGTATCAGCCAGGAAGACTAGCAAACAAACAGCACGGTGTCTCTGAAACTTAAATATTTTGTCTATATCAAACGCCACGGTGCACTGTGCGGAACAGTGGCCGAGGGCATGGCACCAAGCAAGAGGGGCAGGGGTCGACCAGTACGAAGACTGGCACAGGATGTTGGAGACAACTTATAAAGACATGTACACGAGGCAGGAGAGCTGGCGAGAGACCGAGTTTCTTCAATTGCTTTTTTGTGTGTGTGTGATGAGAGCGACGTTCTGTAAAGGAGATACTCCTTGACTTTGATGAGGGAATAACGTTTAGTGGGGTCTGAACGCCGGCAGTGTTAGTAAAGTAAAGGGCCCTTTTCCAAGCCTTCGTGAGTTGTGGGAAAATTGGGTTAGGCCTATATTTGATAGAACAATCGGCACTCTATGTGTCAATATCAAACCGGCTGCCTTTACTTCCAAGTACTGTACCTGGAGTCCGTTTAAGGCTAGGTCGACCTGGGTGGGAAACAAGGTAATTTTTAACCCCTACCCCAACCCCCCTACTACCCCCCCCCCTCCCCCAAAGGCCGGCTTCGTCTGGGCCCGAACCCACAGAAGCCGGGATAGGTACTTTTGCAACAACAACAACAAATCAAAAATAAACGATCATGAAATATTAAATATTAAGTCGAGTAGTGGTGGTGCTCGACTATGTATTTCCTTGGTCAAACAACGGTCTTTCTTGTAATTGTGCTAGCTACATATCAGTGTAGGTACGTTGATATTTTTTTTTCTACCGTTACGGTTTCTAAGCTCCCACTTCTGTGTCGGTCTGCGAAACCTCCCCCCCCCCCCCCCTTTCCCCGCCCCAGCCCCCGCCTACATTCAGCTCTGAGCAATAATTATGTGTTGTCCTTCAAGCATAGTTTGACTATCTATCATGCTGGAAAAAATTCTGCGTTTTATTTACCAACACAATCACACCTGTGTTATTAAATGAGAGAGAGAGAGAGAGAGAGAGAGAGAGAGAGAGAGAGAGAGAGAGAGCGAGAGAGATGGGGATGGGAAGAGAAAGAGAGAGAGGGCGAGAGAGAGAGAGGGTGGGGGGAGAGGGGGGAGAGAGAAATGGGGAGAGGGAGAGAGAGGGGGTAGAGAGAAAGGGGGAGAGGGAGAGAAAGAAACATACATGCGTTCACACAGACGATTGGCGGGCAGACACACAGACTGGTGAATAGATAAATAGATGATAGAACTAACGAATTGTTTTTTGAAACTATATAGACAGACATTTAGACAACAGACATACAGACATGCACACATATACATAGATTAGATCGATAGATAAAACAATATATATATATATATATATATATATATATATATATATATATATATATATATATATATATATATATATATATATATATATATATATATATATATATATATATATCATATACATATACATACATACACACATATATATAGACATAGAGAATGTAAAATAGAGAGAGAGAGAGAGAGAGAGAGAGAGAGAGAGAGAGAGAGAGAGAAAACAGAGAGAAAGAAAACAGAGAGAGCGTGTGTGTGGGAGAGACAGAGTGTGAGTGTGAGAGAGAGATAGAACAGAGAGATAGGGAGAGAGAGTGTGTGTGTGTGTGTGAGAGAGTGTGTGTGTGTGAGAGAGAGAGAGTGAGAGAGAGTGTGTGTGTGAGAGAGAGAGTGAGAGAGAGAGCGTGTGTGTGTGAGAGAGAGAGAGTGAGAAAGAGAGAGCGTGTGAGTGTGTGTGAGAGAGAGCGTGTGTGTGTGTTTATGTGTGTGTATGTGTGAGAGAGAGATAGAACATAGAGATAGATAGAGAGAGTGTGTGTGTGTGTGTGAGAGAGAGAGAGAGAGAGAGAGAGAGAGAGAGAAGGGGAGAGAGGGGGGCCGAAAGCCGGTAGACAGACAGCTATTTGGACAGGAAAGCCTCCTAGTACCAGCCTGGTATCGATTGAGCCGTTAAGACAAGAAATATAGCCCGCATTATTATTCCAGACAGTGTGAACCATCCATTAGGCTGATCGATTATTTTGTCGTTTGC